GCTTAACGAGTGCAGAATAGAAGCAGGAGGAGGAGCAGTAGCTGAGGAGGCTCCTGGGGCTGGAGTGGCAAAAGGCAGCAATCTCTGCACCAGGGTCTGCAGGTGGTCAGAGATGGCACGGCCCTAGGCAAGCAGCTCCTGCCAGCTCTCCCACCACAGCAGCAGGTCTTTGTGCACCCAGTGTTCCAGGATGCACCTTTGCAGGATCCCCAGGTGCTGCCGCTGATACTTCTCCTGGTTCCGGTTCACCCTGCTGGCCCGGGTGCGGGCGGATGTCCTGGGCGGGGTAGTGCGCCCTGCACTCGCAGCTGCTGCGGCTGTAGAGGAACAAGAGAAGTGGTCAGTTATCCCTGGGGACACAGTGGGTGAAGCTCAGCCCCCCTCTGCAAGGCGAGGACGGCAGGTCTCCGCACCATCAGAGCCAATGTGCTTGCACACAGGCCATGTTTGGCATGTCCTGCTATCCCCGGGAGCGTGAGCTGGCCCGGGACTGCACCCAGGCCCCTGTGCTGTATATAGTGTGGGAGTGGGGGGGAGGGGAGATGTGCCCTACCTCTGCGTAGAGGGGGCTTGTGGAGGGAGGGCATCGTGCAGTGTCCCTCCCCGGGGTCAGGAGCATGTCATGTGCCTTCATACATACGTGCATGTGGGTAACAGGCCAGGGCCCCTGAGTGGCAGCCAGCCGGGACCACATGCCCAGGGTGGCATGGCACATTCACAGGTTTCTGCGTGTTCTGTGGTCAGCAAGGCACACACGCACAGTCCCTCCCCCACACCTCCGCCCCGCATAAGGGGACAGTGATGGCACTCACCTGTCGACTCCTCCTTGGCCTCGGATGACACCAGTGACATGGCTGCTGTGATGCCTCGGGCATCCAGGGTGGGTGCCACGCTTCCTCCAGGTTCCTCCTCCTCCTCCATGCCCTGGTCAGGGCCCTCGGCCCCAGGGTTCATGACCACCTGGGGGGCACAGACCGTCTTCCCCCCCAGGATGCGGTCCAGGGCATCATAATGGGGCAGGGGTCTGGGTCAGCTCCTGTTTGGGAGCTGCCCCCTGTGGCCCTGGCATACGCCTGCCACAGCTCCTTTATCTCCATGAGCACCTGGGTGCGCATGTGGCCTTTGGTGGCCAGGCTTTCAGCCATCCGCCTGTAGACGACCGCGTTCCTGCATCTAGTGTGGAGATCATGGACATTGGAGGTCTCCCCCCAAACCTCCATCAGGTCCATGATCTCCTCACTGGACCAGGAAGGCGCCTGCCTTTTGCGGCCCCTGGCAGGCTCTTGGGAGCTGCCAGCCTGCTCCTGGGGAGCGGTGGAGGGCTGGGTGCCAGTGGGTTGCTGGCTCATGCTGGGCCAGGGGCAGCAATTGCTGGCTCTGTGCTGGCAGGCTTGCAACTGGCACAGACACTGTGGCCAGAGTCTACCCCTTTAAGGGCTCTGGGGCTGGGGGGGAGCAGAAGAGTTTTCCTGGTTT